GAACTCATTATTCCTATGGGGGAAGGGGATTGATTTAGACTCAAATCACAGAGCATGGTAGAGATACCATCATAATTAGGACTCAAGCCTTTTTTTTCTTTCTTTTAACAAATAGTCCATTGTTCTAATTTGAAAATAATGCTTTTCCTAAAAGTTAATTTTCTTGTAACCATTTTCAGAAAAATCAAATTTCATGTACTCTATTCCATTCTCTTTTTATCGAACTAATGGGGGATAACTCTACAAACAGTAATAGTATTTACAATCCTTTCAGTTCTATTATTTATGTTATAGCCTAATCAGAAATAATTCTAGAGTGAATAATTATCAAAATCATTTCCTGACGGAAAAGATGCATTATTATTTCTTTTCCCAAAAGCAGCATCTAATTTCTCATTTCATCAGCTGCACTGACAATTATTACTTTTTAGTGCCTAAAGCATTAGACTGAAACCAGAAGGCTGACAGTTCAAATCCACCAGCCACTACTCGAAGGAGTGATACCCCCTAGGAAATCCAAGCATGGGTCATTATGAGTCAGGTCTGACTCGATGTAAGTGTTTGTTTGTTTGTTTGTTTGTTTAGTTTTTGATAATTTGAGAGAAAGGAAATGGTATTTGTATATTAGCATGCATGGTGGCATAGTGCCTAAGGCACTTGACTGCTAACCAGAAGGCTGGAGTTCGAACCCACCAGCCACTCCTCGGAAGAAAGGTTGGGCAATCTACTTCCGTAGTAATACTGCCTTGGAAACCCAAGGAGGGGTCACTATGAGTCAGGAGTGACTCAATGGCAACGAGTTTGGTTTTTTTGAGAGGACTTGAAAAATTTTAAACATGATTGTTAGCCACTTGAATTTTCTCTTCTGTGAATTACACATTCAACCCTTTGCTTAATTTTCTACAGGTTGTTTTCCTTCTACATTTGTTTGAGCCCTTTGGATACTGAGAATATTAGTCCTTCTTAAGTTTTAATGGAGAAAAATATTTTTCCCAGTTTGTTTGCTCTTTGTTTTTTTGTTTATGATCTTTCTGATGTACAGAAATTTTAGGTTGTATGTGGTCAAATGATTTATTTATATTTTTGCTTTGTGATTTCTTCTGTTTTTATATTGTAAAGTCTTTTAGCATATAAACATTAAATACCTGTTCATATATCTTCCACTCTGGTTTTTCATGTTTTCATTTTCTAGATTAACTGCCTCTGAGGCTAGATGGAAACTCAGGCTCTTCCCAAACAGCCTGGTCCATGAAACTCAGAATAAGAGCTGGGAGTAGATCTTAAGCAAGTGGCAGAAGAAAAAATGTTCTAAATATTTCATGGGGTTTTAACTGCTCATCATTACATAAAGGTGGTTTCCTTGTTAGAATCATGTTGATATGGATAAACATGAGTTTCTTCTGTTATCAGGAAAAATGTCCACAACATTTGAAGCTATTTTGCAATTCCAATACCTTGTATATAGTTGGAGAATACCTCAGTGCCACTGTGGGTAGAATTCAGCTATTTTCAAAAGCTAAGAGGTAGGTTTGCTTGGGGGCTAGAATTGGGAGAGTGGGAAAAGGAAGAAGCAGGAGTAGATAGGAGTGACATTTTTCCTCTTTGCTAGAGTAAGTGTTGAGTAAAGAATAAGAAAAGTTTTGGGAGGATGAATGAAAGCGGAATTGGGACTTTTTGGGCATTCCAGAATGGAGTTATTTAATACATTTATTGTGTGAGAATCCCAAATCAAAGACTTTAACTAGTATTCTTTTTTTAATCATAAAATAAACAAAGCAGGAATTCTTGCAATCTTAATCTTCTTTCAGATCCTAATACGTTGTTGTTGTTGTTTCCTGGTGGTTGACTTACAGCAAACTCATTATTAATGACACCTCATACATTGTAACCTACACTTCAGTTCATTTAAAATTAACATGCAGAAAGACATTCACTCTACAGAGCAGTTTGGTTAACAAAAGCACATCTGCAGATGAGCTATCTGTGCTAATATGACATCTTCAAAGTAATGATAAAGAACCAGTGACAACTGAAATCAATTCTCTCCTCTTAGGTGCCAAAGAAATGAGTACTGCAAGATAAATGTCCAGAGAATTTATTAAGACCAGTTTTATATATCAATCTTGCTCAAAATTTTTTCTTTCCTCCAACTTAGCAAAACTCCAACTAACAAGAATGTTGTGAGAGGGGGTAGTCTAGTAGTGTAGTGCCTAAGGCACTTGACTGCTAACCAGAAGGTTGGCAGTTCAAACCCACCAGCCACTCATCAAAAGGAAGATTGGGCAATCTACTTTCGTAGTGATACTGCCTCGGAAACCCAAGGAGGGGTCGCTATGAGTCTGGTCCGACTCGACGGCACATAACATCAACCTCCTTATAGAAGCTCTGGTAGCGTAGTGCCTAAGCCATTTGACTGCTAACCAGAAAGCTGGCTGTTCAAACCCACCATCCACTCTTGGGAAAGGAAGATTGGGTGATCTACTTCTGTAGTGATACTGCCTCGGAAACCCAAGGAGGGGCCGCTATGAGTTGGATCTGAATCGACAGCAGTGAGTTTGGTTTTGATGTTTTGGTTTAACCTCCTTAAATTGAACAATGAATTGAAACTCTTTAAAAAAGTTATTTTACTTCAGTCTTTACTGAGCATCTTCATATTTCACTGTTTTACTAAGTAAACAGGAGACCTATCATTAATGGCTGGCCAAAATCTTGTCTCTTCACATGTGGAAATCTCCACACTGTGCTAGAATATGTATGCATATGTAACAATGCACACACAGACACACACACATAGATACATATTTCTCCATCCTCACTTACTACTATGCAGACACTGACTTAGGTTCCACTGGTTAGATACATGTAAGCAAACTTCTAATTTGGAATGAGGGCATATAATAAAAATGCAGGGCATCTTTTTTGGTCATGCAGGACTGGCCCATCTGCAGCAGAGGCATAATTGTTGTTTGGGCCACAGAAACCCCCTTACCAGGACAGCTTTGAGCCCAGTGCTAGCCAAGGTTTCTGAAAGCTCATCTTGCATAAACCTGTTCCTTCACCTCTCCTAACAATTCTGAGATTCCTAATATCCCTTACCAATTCTTTTCTGCTTAAACTGACTGTGGTCTAGTACTAAGGACTGAGATCAGTGCCAAAACAAAAACAAAAACAAAAAAAACCCAACCAAACTCACTGCCATGAAGTCGGATCCGACTCATAGCAACCCCTCCTTGGTTTCCAAGGCAGTATCGCTATGGAAGTAGATTGCCCAACCTTCCTTCTGAGGAGTGGCTGGTGGGTTGGAACTGCCAGGCTTCAGGTTAGCAGTCAAATGCCTTAGGCACTATGCTACCAGAGCTCCCGGGACCGGTACAGTGAACACGAAATCTGTCTTTGATGACTGAGGACTGAATTTGCTTAAGAATGATCATTCCAAGTATGAATTTTCATAATGCAGAAATGATCTTAGTTAATATTTATTGAACAATCATGATGCACTTGCCCTGTGTTAATTACTTTACATTAATTATCTCAATCCTCACAGCTACTATTGTTATCATCATGAGCCCTGGTGAAATGCTTGGATGCTAACCTAAAAGGTTGGTGGTTTGAAGCCACCTAGAGGCTCCACAGCAGAAAGAGGTAGCTATCTGCTCCCATAAGGATTATGGCCTAGAAAACCTTTGAGGCTGTTCTACTCTATCACATAGGATAGAACTCTGGGATGGCTATAAGTCACAATCCACCTGATGGCACTTAGCAACAACAGCCATTATTATCTTCACTTAGCTAATGTGGTTAGGTGACTTTCCCGTGGTCACACAGGGAACACTCGGTAAAGTCAGGACTTGAATCCTTGCAAGCTGACTCAAGATTCTGCCTTCTTAAGCACCATGCCACACTGCAGGAAGAAGAGAGGTCTTGACTATATAGAGATTAAACAGTTCTATTCTGTTATTCACTGCCACTGAGTCGATTCCGACTCATAGTGATCCCCATAGACTTTCCAAGGCTGCAAATCTTTATGTAAGCAGATTGCCTCATCTTTCTCCCACAGTGTGGCTGGTGGGTTTGAACTGCCGATGTTCTGGTTAGCAGCCGAATACTTCACCGACAATGCCACCAGAACTTCTGTAAAGATTGACAGCCTTGGAAATCTTATGGGGGTTGCTTATGAGTCGGAATCGACTCAAGGGCAATGGGTTTGTTTTTTTGATCTGTTATGAGGATAAGAGTTTTTTTTGTGATTTAAATGTTCCTTTTAAAGTACAAGAAAATTTCAGTTGTCTATCATATACACTTGTATTATGGATTAACTGTGATTTTTATTACAGTGAAACAACAGAACTACTATTTTCATGAATTATTTAAAAGCTCTATCTGTGTAAGTCAGCAAATATATACAAATGTTTTTCCACAGTAACCAAAGCAAAAAAATATAACTATAATTTTTATTTCTGGCAGTTGCATGACCAACTCTATAGTTGTATGAACTTAGGCATGTCATTTAAGCTTGGTGACCCTCAGTATCTTTGTACAATGAAAATATCATCACCTGTTTTATAGGTGAAATGGATACTAACATAGGCTTGTCCCATGGAAAAATAAGAAAATGTATGTAACAGGGCCTTATAAAAATATTATAAAAGTAACAAGTTTTATTACTATGAATTGTATTGCAATTAACAGTTTACAGGACCTTTTGCATATCTTATTCCATTTAAATTCCACCAAAATCCTGTGATAGATAAGAGATATTATCCCCCTTTCATGCATAAGGGAACTGAAATTTTAAAAAGATGGATAACTTATCCAAGCTTCTATAACTAGGAAAAGGTAGAAAGGATATGTGACTCCTACTTTTCCATGACACTTCACTTAATACTTTCATGAAGGAAAAAAAAAATCTTTTATCAGTAACACTTATTTAAGAAAAAACAAATTCTGGGATATAGCACGTTTATTCCGATACGGTGCTGGATGAAAGAGTACCCACTCACCTTTTTGACTTCATACTTAATGGCGAGTTTGACACGACTCAATGAAGACTTATGTCTGTGCACCTCCAGAGGGTCTGCGGATTCCAGGTCTCCATTCAGAATGGCTTCCACCTCTTCGGAGTCTCGGCAAAGATCCAGCACACCCACTACAAAGTCTTTGCATTGCATGGAGAGCTTTCGATAGTCATTCTAAGAACAAGATGTTTAGAGTATATTATAAAGAATGTGTTTTAAATCAGAGGAAAGTGTTCAGGGTTTGAGTGAATTAGAAAAGGTGTTCTTTCTTCTGAGTGGGACCTCTTAGTACCTACCTGCATGCAGGGCTTTGCAAGTTTGATACAGGCTGGATTTGCTCCCACTTGCCCCCTTGGCCAAGTACCCTTCTATAACGTGCCCTACCATAGGAAACAGCTCTGGAAATGGACATACATAAGTCACTGTTATGTATTAAGAGATGCTGGCTAAAGGCTAATGCTGAATGATCAAAAGATCCCAAAAAAGCTTATCTCTTTTGTACAAACAAAATTAGTTCTTTTAAAGTCAAAATAAGACTATTTATATAGTGAAAAGTGATAATTTAACATAGAAGACTATATGTGGAAATAATACTTCCACTTCACTACCCCTTGCCTTGTTGGGGTCATTGCTTTTCCAAGTGTGGTCCCCAACAGACTCCAGGAATGTGTTAGAAATGCAAATTCTCAGACTACATCACAGCCTCTGAGAATAGGGCTTAGCAATCTATGTTTTGCATAGTGGCTAAAGCACTTGACTGCTAACCAGAAGGCTGGCGGTTCAAACCCACTAGCCACTCCTCGGAAGGAAGGTTGGGCAATCCTACTTCCGTAGTGATATTGCCTCGGAAACCCAAGGAGGGGTCTCAATGAGTCGGGGCTGACTCGACGGCACATAACAACAACAACAACAACCTATACATGCTAATGTTTGACAATGACTGGATTTTAATAAATGTAAGGAGGGGACAGGTACTAGCATAGAGAAGATACTTTTTTCTTAATTGTCTGAAGGGCATATTAGTATGCCTGGGAGAACTGGAAGGAAAGAAGTGTCTGATTATATGTAATTGAATTCTCAAGGGTTGCAGAATATCAATACCTGAGAGAAAATTTTCCAGGCCACTGGAACTAACACCATGCTAAAAATAATCTGTGAATCTTTAATTTCATTTGCATATATATATAGTGTCATGGACTAGCATAAAGAAGTCACTTGGCAGCATTCCCTGCTACCTTCTGAATAGACCTCTATTTCTAGCCCATTGGCTCCAGTCAAGGTGCCAATGACCAGCTCATGGGAAAGTGTGTCACTTGCAGAAATGCTTGTTTCACTTCTTTGATTTTCACTAAAATTCTGGCCCATTAATAAAGTTATCTAGATGATAATCTAATTTGGTACACTTGAAGAAAATAGAATTCTTCATTTCACTATGTTCTTAGACACTGTGTCTAAATAACTAAATACACCTAGCATAGCACAATTTCCTGGCTGCCAAAAATCATACTTTTAAAAAAAAGACACAAAGGATTTCAAAATTTCAAGCAATTAATTTAATGGGTAAAACCATGACACCAACTAGAATAAATAAAAAGAGGAGAGCCTGCTTCAAGGCTACAGACTAGAATACTTTTCCTTTCAGATAGAAATTAATATAAAGAACAGTTACAGTTAATCCTTTTCCTTTCATAAGGGAACAGATAAAATGAATAAAAACTTCAATCTCTGGTTTCCATTCAGTTTGGTACCGTGCAACTGATAAAATTAATAAAATGACCAGTCTATAGTTTCTACGCAGCATGTCAGTTAAATACCCATCTGCCTTCTATTCCTGAAAGACCAATGAAATATTTTATTATAACATCCGGAAGAAGCATTAAATTCATGTCTATTTCCATATAAAGTTCTCTGTTTAATATAAATGTTTTAGTTGAAATTTCCTCATACTTCTCTTTAGCTCAAACTGCTCTGGAAGATTTGGTACAACTTAGAATGGCCATTTCTCCAATGTTCAGAAACAAAAGGGGTTACTTTCCATGCTTTGAAAAGAAATCTTGGTATCTGCTTCTTCAGTATTACCCAGTTAATGACCCATTTTCAAAAATTATAATCTGTAAAATCTCTGTTCCTAAAAGTAGACTGTGCTGTTTTTTCACATCCACTGAAACATGAGTCAAGACACAAGGAATTGATACCATACAAGTTGCAAGGGCAACACCTCGTTTTTATAACAATTTATACAATTCCTGCCAGGAATCTTTTGCCCACATGCAGGAAATAATCATAGCTGGAGAAAATGGTGATTTCTTTTATTTTGATCATGGAATATTATTTTAATAACTTAATATTATTTTTCAAAATATGCAGAGCTACCAGGGAAGCTAGAGTGCACCAGCTGAAGGCTGCATTTCCTTGAAGGAAAGTTGTAAGAGCAACTATCTAAAGCCAACATTGTACCACACAGGTGACTGTTGTTTCCAACATGAAGTCCTACTTCATAACTCATGCAGTTTTTCTGGTCCACATTTTCTAATAGTTTTCTCTTTATTTAGTTTGCTTAAAGATTTTCATCGTACCACTCATTTATTTCCATAGCCTTCCACAAAGTTAGCAGGTGGACTTGCTGCCCATTTTGCAGAGCAGGAACTCAAAGCCCCAAGAACCTGCTCAAGACAGAAGTAGAATGAAGTTTAGTCTCAGTAAACCTGCCTACAGGTATCAGCACATGTATTCTAATGTGCGTGGTTTACTCACCATTCTCATTCTTTTTATCTTTAATAGGGAAATTTAAATTCATCTCTAATCATACTTGGTTCAATCAGACTCTTTCCCATATGAAAAAAGCAGTTTTGTGTAGGGGCTGTTAGACACACTGAGTCGGAAGCCTAATACTGTTTCAACTATTTCCTAATTATGTGTGGAAGTTACTTAACCTTGTTGTTGTTAGTTGCTGTTATCGAATATTGTAATTGTGAGGATGAAGTGAATCAACATGTACAAAATGCTTACAGTATGCTTAGTGCACACTGTCCCTGTTGGTTGCTGTTGAGTCGATTCCAACTCATGTTGATCCTATGTACGCAGAATAGATCTGATGCTCTAAATACTATGTGTTTGCTTCAATATTATCAGGTACAATATGTTACATAGAATATGCAGGACTAGGTGGGACCCAAGACACCCAAATCTAGACTTAGCAGATGGGACTTCATTTTTCCATTTCTGAAATGAGGGGTCTGTATAATCTGATGATTCCTAGTTTCTTGCTATAATACTCCATACTTGCTTTTGGATTGTATTATTTTCCTCTCCATTTTTAAGGTTCTACTGCACTAAATGTTGGAACTGTGTTTCATTTTAAAGAAAAAAGTGACTTGCTCAAAGATAAATAGTGCTTCACAGTTAGAATTTGGAACTTCAGACTGTGTTCTCACAGCTTAATAAATGACTGGCTTTCTTGCCACTGACATTTGGAGGATTAGATCTAGAGTCATCCTGTCCAATATTCCGTTTCTCAGAATAGCTTCAGACAGTGGTTGTACATCCCAAATATTTCTTTAATAACCTGTCACTGAGCTGTCTTCCATTAATTTATCTAAATCTATATTCTAGAATATTCAACCTCTTGAGGTAATGACTTTCATATGTTTTCAGCACTATGACTACTGCATTCTTCAAAGAACTTCAAAAATGGCACAGTGGCTCAGAACCTTCTTTGAAGCACCAGAGTGATGATAATTTGAGGAGTGAGAACCAGATATTAAAAGCCACTGAAAAGATAAAAAAAAAAGTATAAATCCAAACCAAACCTATAGCCATCAAGTCAATTCCGACTTATAGTGAGCCTGTACGACAGAGTAGAACTAACTGCGCAATAGGGTTTCCAAGACTTTAATCTTTACAGGAGCAGACTGTCACATCTTTCTCCCATGAAGCAGCTGGTGTGGATTGGAACTGCTGACCTTTTGGTTAGCAACACACACTTACTTAACCACTGCACCACTAGGGCTCCTTAAAATAGGTGTGGGTGTCTGAAAGGAAAAACAAAAAATCACCTCTTTTTCACTAGGGGACACATTATCTATTTTTTCATTTCAAGGCTAGTACTTTGAGCTCAAAGTCCCTGTGGAAAGAACATAGTGAACATCAGGGAATAGGGCAAATTAGGTTACCTGCTTGCCTCAGAAATGAGCTTCACTTCCACTGCCCTTTAGAGCTCGGAGTCCCTGGGTCAGTGCTGTGAAAGCACTATTTTTTCTGTGTCTAAAGCCTTGACAGATGGGCATGAGATTGGGATGAGAGGGTAAAGAGGTGAAAGGAAGGCATATAAGAAAGATATAACAAGAATAGGTAAGAATGGACAAAAACAAAAGGATATTTAGTTAGGGGAGAGAGACTAGCAGTTCTCAGAGACGACAATCACTTCTAAAGAACTGTCCTAATTTTGGCTCAGAGGGGGTTGTGCTATTCAAGTCTTTCCATATAATGCAGAAAAAGGACTAGCTTTGCATATCCTTAAGATGTCTGACAGCTTTATGAGTGTCTCCCTTGAACCTAAGTGTCTTGTCTCCTCTTTTCCCTCTTCACTTGCGATATTTTTCCCACCTTTGAAAGGTTATCACAGGTGATTCTTTAAGTCAAGTTAAAGGAGATTTGAAGCATTATCAATACGAATTTAGTCAACTTCAGGGAAAAACAACAATTGCTCTTACCATCACTTCACTGAGATGACTTTTATGGGTGGAATTGCAAACATCATCACCTTCAGTAAATTATTTTAAAATAACCTTAGAAAATATTCCCTTTTATAGAATTTCTTTTGTAGGCTTTCAATATGTACCAAGCAACCCGCATAAAACAAGACTGGCCAATATTTGAAACAAATAAACAAAACTATTATGATGATTTTTATTACTGTATCAATATTTAAAAATAAATTTTAAATGTTATTTAGAGCTGTTTTATCTGAACATTTTCCTACCTTCTCTAAATGGAACTGGTATCATGTCAATGTGTTCTACCTGAGTTTTATTCCTTCCCTCCAACAACAACAAAAAAATTATTTTGGGTACAAGTACAACATTTTTTTAAAATTATTTTAAATCTAATGAATCTCTTCAAAAGGGGTAGAAATAAGGTGATATTTGTTTTCTTCATATTTTTCCACGGTTTTCAAAGTTTCTACAATACTGTGTTCCTTTTATATTAGAAAAACATTTTTAAAGGGAGTAACAAAATTATACTAAGGCCAGTTCTCCACCAGATCAAGACAAGAATTGGGAAACTCCTAGGGAATTTGATGTGTATGGAAGTAAAACAAACAACAAAATAAACATCAATGACACTTTCCCATCATTTTGTGGTAAACTCAGGCAGAAAAGTATGTTTTCTTTAACCTGAATTATATTGCTAATTACATTTGTGTAAATCTCACCTAAGTATGAAAACCCTATTAAGATGTGGAAGACAGAATAATCACTCTGATATCTGTCACAACACTAAACTGAAAAGAAGATTAACTCAGCATCCAGATAATAATTTAAGAAATGGGTGTCTATTATCATCTGCTGATAAGTAATCAGACTTTCACCAGCACTATCAAATTCTCTTTTATTCCAAATTTAATTGGTGGAGCCATGCACAACACATTGAAGGATATAGCCATTGAGTAAAAAATAAAAGTGCTGTATCATTAATGTACAATTTTATAAAAATACTATTGTTTTGATGAGAGATGGTAAAAAAAAGTGCACTCACTAAAACACTTTAATGGATTTAAACTATTCTTGTATTTTGGGGTTGATCTGTCATCGATGACACACTACCCTGAATACACATTTATCGATTCCAGGGAGAAGCATTTTTGCATTAATGGATGATTTTGAAAGTGTTTTATACTGTATTGATCTTTTGACTTTCTACTCTAAAAGGATATTCAAACACTTGTGCCAATGAACAATGCACTCAAAATTAATAACTACTTCTGTAGTGGGCACCATCCTACAACTACAAAACGGAGAAAATCTGGGAGAAAGTCACACCAAACTCCCCCTTTAGACAAAAGGAGAAGTTTATGTTTTAGGTAACGTTTATCCAAAACACAGAGCAGCACTATCACAGCTCTGATCTAGCCAGGGCGTATACATCCCCAAAGCAAGTATTTCACAGCACCATGGTTGAGAGGGAAATTCCTCAGGTCAACTATGAACGATGCTCCCAGTCTCTCATAATTCTAAATCCACTAGGTAAAACCAATTGTGGGGCAAGCTACAGAAGAATCAAGGCATCTGGCAGCAGTCAGGAAGTGAAGGAGCACGCAGGGAAGCCAGGTTAGCGCGCAGAGCTTACCTTGAACTCCTTCTCTATGTTGGCCAGCTTGGCCAGCTCGTTGCTGAGCTCCAGAGCGGTGAGCACGGGGTCTTCGCTGGACAAGGACAGGTATGCCGGGCTGGCCAGCCCCTTGTAAGCGTTGATCCTCGAGCGAGAGTGACTGAAGGAGTCGTGCCTCTGCTTCTCGGTGCACTCCCCACACTTGCAGAAGTAATCATGCGGCCGCTCGATCCGGGCGCCCTTCATCAGCAGCATGTGCACCACCTCGTACTTCTGGCAGTGCGCCGCCAGGATAATGGGGGTAATGTCGGGCGAGAAGCGCGTGCCGTCCTCGTCGTAGGCGTAGAAGTCGTCGTCCTGCAGCTCCTGCTCGCAGGGGCTCAGGGTCAGGCGCTTACTGGCCGCGAAGCCTGGGTGGTTGAGGATGGCCTCGACGATGCGCACGTAGCCCTTGCTAATGGCGAGCAGCAGGGCGTCGCCTATACGCGCCAGGTTCTCCTTCTTAAGCAGCAGCTCTGTCACCTCCAGGTGCTCATTGCCCACGGCCAGCTGCAACGCGTTCTGGCCCATATAATCCACGCAATTGACGTTCAGCGTCTTGGATTCCTCCAGCATCTTGCGCACCACGGGGATGTTGCCATACTCGGCGGCGTCGAGGAAGCGCTCCTCTTCCGCGGTGAGGCTGGTGCCCCGGTCGTTGAACATGAAGGCCGGGCCCCTGACTGCCTGGCGCCGACCCTTCTCTCGCATCGCCATCATGCGTCTCAGAGACGGGCTTCCCTCCACTGACCTAATGAGCAGCAACGAAAAGGAAACTGTAGGATATCGGTGCAAATTGCTTCTTTGGCAGGGCTCCTCCCAAACACTGGGGCCCTTTCTTATGTACACAACACCCACTGCTGACCCGTGGCCCGGGGGCGCCCAGGATTAGTTGCTAAGGAGTCGCCTGAAAACTTAAACCTGTTCCTAACACAGGCTGCTTGAACCCAGAGAAGGGCAGGCAGCCCTGCAGAACAAGAGATCCTGTATACTAGAAAAGGACATTCAGATGTAATAATAATAAAAATAATCTCCATACACCCACGCCTCCCTGTGGCCCTGGGAAAGATGGAACTCATCGTTCTTTGTGGCAATAACCTTAGTGCTGCTCTTAAAAATCGAAAATAGAGGCTAGCAGGTACTTGACACCAAAGGCTAGCCTTAAAGGCTAAAGGAAGTTAATTTTTTCAATAATTAGGCCAGTCCTTTCAAGTCATTGCATATTTTGAATTAAGTAAAAATCTTTTTTTTTTTTTTTTTGGTTAATGTCTAGTGTTTAGGCCTAGCATCATTTGGCAAGATCTTAGGTTTATTGTTTTCTCTTTAGGGCAATCCTCACCCCACTCTCCCAAATAATAATAACATAGGATTCACATTTACAATGACACAAACATAGTTAAGATTAAGCAATTATAAAATTAGAGCATCAACTTAGGTTTATTTTATTGCAAATAATTGTGTCATAATAAGAACTGTTTAATTATCAATATTATATAGTTCTCCCTTTGTACTAAGAGGATATGGTTTGATTGATGGTTTTAAAACTATTAGCATTACTCTGTGGATAAAGCAACTAGGCACTAATTGCATAACCAGAACAATGTGACCTGAAATCCTATTATCAAATATATTAGTTGAGATTTAGCTTCATTATAAAAGTTAGCTAAATATCCTATCAGAGTCCCTGGGTGGTGTAAATGGTTAATGCTCTTGGCTACAAAACAGTGGAGGTTTGCATCCACCCAAGGGAGCCTTTGAACAAAGGCCTGGTAATCTACTTCCAAAAAGCCACTGAAAACCTTGTGGAGTACATACAATTCTACTTTAACACACATGGAGTTGCCATGAGTCAGATCAACTAGGTAGCAACTAGTTTTAAATATATCATTAATTCATTTGTGAAGCCATTCTACTTCACATCTTAATCTCTGTGATTATGGATAAATAATTTCATTTCTTTGTGCTTTCTTACTCCAGGTGCAAAATGGAAATTTATAAACTTCTCCAGATTTTTCTCATTAGCTAATGAACACAAAGCTGTTTTAGAAGTTCTGAATATTTGAAAAATAATGCTAAATAAATAATGTAATTGTAACCTCCTGCTTATCTGTAATATTTCAGTGGTTATCAGTGTAAGTACAAATATGCATCTGTCTTTTGAACCAGTTCCACCATTCTTGATGACAGAAACACTCAAGACAACTTCTTTTTTAAAATCAATGATTTTTAAACTAGGAGTTGTACCCAAAGGTCCAACATACAGCTCTATTTACATTGCTTTATGAACCAAATAACAGTGATCAGTTAAAAGTGAATGGATAGAAAAGAAAATGCTTTCCTCCTAGTGTAACACATGTTCCAGAAATACCTCCTTCCACTGAGAAAATAGTATTCATAGAATCAGAGGTTGAAAATTAACTAAAAGAAGACATTAGCCTCCCTCATGGCCTGGAAGGAGACAACTGAAATAGGGAGATTCTCCAGCAAGAGGAAGCAGTCGTGAGACCAACCTTCTATTCAGGTCTCACTTCTGTGGGCCCCAAACCTTAGTAGAGGAACACAGAAGCCACTGGCAGAAAATCGCCTGGATGGAGACCAAAGAAACCTGCATCTGCAAAGTTGTAAAGTACAAACATGAGAGGCAGCATTATAAATAGTCAAACCTCTCATTTTAGAGGTGAGGAAACCAGAGGTGCCCAGAGAAGCTTGTTAACTTGTCCAAGAGTGGAGATACTGAAGCTTTTAACTGTAGTTATATTTGGGGTTCTAAGGGATGGGACTGAGGAAACAGAGAGAGAATGGGACTTTTACTTTCATTTATATCTTTTTGTACATTTTGCATAGTTTTTAACCATAGTTTGAATCTTTTTTATTGAGAGTGAAATTCGTATTTTAAATTTTCATTTATTTTAACCCCTTAGGTGGCAAAAATTTTACAATATAGGTGCTCATTGGCAGCCATTGTATTATAGTCTTTCCTGAAGCTAAATAAATACCATGTTTATCTGTTATTAATAGGGTATGGGAGAGGCACTTAACTACTAACCAGAAGGTTGGTAGATCAAACCTACCAGCTGTTCCACAGAAGGAAAATGGGGCAATCTACTTCTGTAAAGATTTACCACCTTGGAAACCCCATGGGGGTCACTGTGAGTTGGAATTGACTTAATGGCAGATGGGAGGAGAAGAAATGCAAGGTTGAGTGTATGAGTCGTGTGTGTGTGTGTGTGTGTGTGTGTGTGTTTTGGCATGACAATCATTCTTGAGTGGACAAGAACTGTATTTCAAGACCAAGCTCTATGAAAAGAATTTCAAAGAAGTTTTATAATATTGCCATTGTAATAAATGTGTATGTTTTATTAGTTTTAATGGTATTGTCTTCATTGTATTATTTAAATATTTATACTATTAAGCTACACATCAGAATTCTTTAAATGGCTAGAACTTTCATGTTGTATAATAGATGAATTTTGCATTTACCAGTGATAGTATATGGACATTATATATGACTACAGAATATGTCGATAAGAGAGCATACACAAACACATACACACACACACACACATATATATATTACATGTATACAGAATTCCAATTTATATTCAGATGGGTTATCTTTGGTGAAATAAACTCATTACTAAAGTGTCACATCTAATGGAAAGGGCTTTTTAATCTATCACTACCTACAAAGAAAATGACTTAGAAAAACTTCACTTTTTTCTGCCAAAGAGATTGATTTCAGAATACTTGGAAATTATTCTTTCATACATTTTTTTTCTACTTTGCATTTCTTAATATTTTTAAGTTATTTCTTAAATTTTTTATATTTCTTCTTCTCTTGGAATCCATTCCCCCATATGGTTGGTATATTAGAGCTGAAACATGTGATTTGAAGGTGGGGCAATCTACTTCCATAGTGATACTGCCTCGGCAACCCAAGGAAGGGTCGCTATGAGTCGGGTCCGACTCAATGGCACATAACAACAACAACACAACACAAGTCACATTAGTCATTTTGATTTTGTCTTTAAAAGATTCTAACACCAAGTTAAGTGTGAAGCTAGATTTCTCAAATGGAACAAATTATTCTGCTATTTCAAAATTAATTCAAAGAGCTGACTTAATGCTACTTATGTTCACAGCGAATCCATAACAGGCAGTTTTTTTTGTTTTGTTTTGTTTTGTTTTTTTCACTTTCTTTGCAATATTAACATGAGCCTCATTTATTTGGACAGATACACTGGTATGAATCCACATTCAATTAATCCACAACATATAAACACGATCCCAATCTCGACTGTTTTTGACATAGCATCTCTTCTAGTTGGCTTGAGGATTAAGTAAGAGAAGAAGCAGAATGAGGGTGAGAAGTGAGGATGCTTAACTTTAGTAACTCTGACACTAACGTAGTTTTGCCAGACATTTTCCTACCTTCATATCTCCATCCAATAAGTCAACTCATTCAGTGTTGCAAGAGTGCATTTGGCAAGGACTTCTCTTCTGGTAAGTGTGTTGGAATACCAATGACCTAAAATCAAGTGGTCTACAAGGGCCATATTTAAATTTCTTCATGGCTGACATGGATGGCTGGTAATATATAACCAAAACACATCAAGGCTACTTTCATTTCATGTTTTATTAAACAAATTTTCTCATCTTAGTTCTTGTCCAAACACTTAAGCAGATGAAAAGTTCTTTCTGAGAAATATTTTAGATATACCCAAAGGCTACCCTCTGCTCCACTCTCTTCAGAGGCAAAAATGCAAGTAATAGTCCTATTTTTATTCCTTTATTATCTACTCATCTGACCTCTAAGAGTTTTCCTCTGTGACCTGAGGATCTCTTGCCTTAGGATCACTTGGCATGCCTGTTAAGATTCAAATTTCTGGCTTCCATTCCAGGTGGACCAAATCAAAATCCGGGGCACTGAAATACATATTATAAATTAGCATCTTTTGCATTCATTTGCACACTAAACTTAGGAAGCTCTAATATTAAATAAAGGAGCCTTGGTGGCATAGTGCCTAAGGCACTTGACTAACCAGAAGGTTGGTAGTTCAAACCTATCAGCTGCTCCACAGAAGGAAAATGGGGCAATCTACTTCTGTAAAGATTTATCACCTTGGAAACCCCATGGGGGTCACTGTGAGTTGGAATTGACTCAATGGCAGTGTTTCTTTGTGTTTTTTTTTTTTTTTAACCTGTCTTTTAATCCTGTTATATATAAGTTATCCAAATCCTTTATTTTTTCTTTTAAATTGTGATTTGGGTGAAAGTTTACAAAGCAAACTCATTTTTCATACAGCGGTTCATGCACATTCTGTTTCATGACATTGATTGCAATCCCCATAATGTAACAGCTCTCTTGTTACTTTCTCCCCGTGATTACTTTTCCTTGAGTTCTTCTTTCTTATGAATTTCTGCTCTCTGAGCTAACTCCCTGTGCAGATACTGCCTTTCTGATCTCCTGTGGTTGATTGTTCTAAGGAGTACAGTTACTTGGTGTAAATGTTCACCTTATATGCCCCATCTATCGTTTGGCTGGAAGGCACAGGAGTGATTCAATTCCAGGCTGGAAGGGAGACGAGAGGACCATGTTGTTGTTGTTGTTGTTGTTAGGTGCTGTCTAGTCAACTCTGAATCATAGCGACCCTATGTACAACAGAATGAAACACTGCCTGGTCGTGAACATCCTCATCTTTGCTATACCTGAGCCCATCATTGCAGTCACTGTGTCAATCCATCTTGTTG